CTGCATTAGTTCATCATGCAAGTTTTCCCAGGTTTCTCTAAAACCATCTCCTTAATTTCTGCAAAATAGCATCCTATTACATGCATATATCATAATTTGTTCAAACATTCCCTGAATCATGGGCATCCCCAAAGTTTCAAATTCTTTGCCGCTGCAGGAGCAGCTACATATATTTTTGTACATATGCGTCCTTTTCTTCTTCCTTCGATCTCTTTGGGGTATAGATCTAGTAGTGATATCTCTGGTCAAAAAGCATTTGGTTTTTGCTGGGAAAACTGGAAAAGAGTATGGCAGAAATTAGGCATTGATCAAAATCTCACACCATATACCAAAATAAAGTCAAAATGGGTTCATGATTTAGATATAAAGGCTGATACTATAAGCAAACTGGGAGAGCAAGGAATAGTTTACCTATCAGATCTATGGAGAACAGAAGAATTCATGACCAAACAGGAGATAGAGAACACTACGAAAAGCAAAACGGATAACTCTGATTACATTAAATTGAAAAGTTTTTGCACAAAGCCAATGCAACTAAGATTAGAAGGAAGGTAGAAAATTGGGAAAGAGTTTTTACAACCAGTCTCTTTGACAAGGGCCTCATTTCTAAAATATATAGAGAATTAAGTCAAATTTATAAGAATACAAGTCATTCCCCAATTGATAAGTGGTCAAAGGATATGAACAGGCAGTTCTCAAATGAAGAAATTAAAGCCATCTATAGTCATATAAAAAAATGCTCTAAATCACTATTGATTAAAGAAATGCAAATCAAAACAACTCTGAGGTTCCACATCACACCTATCAGATTGGCCAACATGACAAAATAGGAAAACAATAAACGTTGGAGAAGATATGGGAAAATTGGAACACTAATGCATTGTTGATGGAGTTGTGAAATGATCCAACCATTTTGGAGAGCAGTTTGGAACTATGCCCAAAGGGCTATCAAAATGTGCATAACCCTTTGACCCAGCAATAGCACTTCTAGGGCTATATCCCAAAGAGATCATACAAATGGGAAAAGGACCCACATGTACAAAAATATTCATAGCAGCTCTTTTTGTGGTGGCAAAGAATTGGAAATTGAGAGGATGCTCATCAATTGGGGAATGGCTGAGCAAATTGTGGTATATGAATGTAATGGAATAGCATTGTGCTATAAGAAATGATGAGCAGGTGGACTTCAGAAAAACCCGGAAAGACTTGTATAGTCTGACGCTGAATGAAGTGAGCAGAACCAAGAGAACGTTGTATACAATAACAGCCACATTGTGCGATGACTAATATTGATAAACTTAATCCTTCCCAGCAATACAAGATCTAAGACATCTCCAGAGGCCTTGTGATGGAAAATGCTATCCACATCCAAAGAAAGAACTATGGAATTTGAATGCAGATTGAAACATACTGTTTGCTATTTTTTTTCTCTTCTGTTGGGTTTTGTTTCCTCTTTCTGGTGGTTCCTCCTATTGGTTCTAATTTTTACTTACAAAATCACTAATCTGAAAATGTTTATTAAGAATGGGTATATATATAGCCTATATCAGATTGTGCGCCATCTTGGGCAGGGTGGTGGGGAGAAAGGGGGAGAAAAATTTTCAACTTAAAAGCATATGGAAGTGATTGTTGATAAATCAAGATAAATTAATTTTAAAAAAGACAGAAAAAGTATTCAATTTTGGTAACTTTCTGGGCATGGTTACAAATTGCTCTCTAGAATGGCTGGAACAGTTCACAGCTCCACCAACAGTGCATTAATGAACCTGTATTCCCGATACCCCTCCAGCACATCATTTTTCTTTTTTGTTGACTTTGCCTAACTAATGGCTATGAGAAACCTCAGTCATTTTTATTTGCATTAATCTAATTATTAGTCATATGGAATATTTTTTTCATTGATATTGATAGCTTGGATTTCTTCCTCTGAAAGGTGCCTATTTGTAACCTCTATCAGTTGGGGAATTCTTATACTTAAATCAGGTACCTATGCATCTTGAAACGAGACTTATCGGAGAAACTTGCTGCAAAGCTCTTTCCCCCAGTTACCCGCTTCCCTTCTAATTTTAGCTGCTTTGGTTTTGTATTGTGTATCATCAAAATTGCCCATTTTCCTTCTGCAATCCTCTACCCTTTGGTTATAAATCATCCCCTATCCATAGATCTGAAAGGTATTTTCTTCCGTGTTTCTCTATGACATCAGACTTTATATTTAAGTCATGTACACATTTTGGTATATACATCTTGGTATGCAATGTTAGATCTTATACCTCATTTCTGCCAGACTGTTTTCCAGTTTTCCCAGCAATTTTTATCAATTACTGAATTCTTACTCCAAAAGCTGAATTTATCAAACAGTAGTCTACTGTGTTCATTTGCTTCTGTATATTGTGTATCTAATCAGTTCCACTCATGGATCTATTTCTTAACCAGATTCAAATCCTTTTTCATGATTACTGTTTGGTAGTCATTTGAAATCTGGTCCTAGATCTGTGCTAGGTGGTGCAATGGATAGAGTGCTGGGCCTGGAGCTGGGAAAAACTGAATTGAAATCTCACCTCAAACACTTACCAGCTGTATGATCCTAGACAAGTCACTTGTCTGCCTCAGTTTCTTCATCTGTAAAGTTGGGATACTAACAGCACCTACCTCCCAGGGTTGCTGTAAGGATCAACTGAGAGATTTGTAAAGTGCTTGGCAAATACAAGGCTCGATATAAATACTATCTGCTGCCGCCACCTTACTGGACCGCCCCCCCCTTCCTTCCCACTTTTTTTTTTCCATTATTTTCCCTGAGATTTTTTACCTTTACAAAAAGTAAAATAAAAATTTTATTTTTTCCCATTCTATAAATAAATCCCTTGGCAGCTTGACTGGCCTGGCACTGAGTAAGTTTAGGGGCTGGCGTCATTTTTCTTACGTTGACTCGCTGCCCCTGGGCACCTATTCCTCCAATTATTCTGGCCCATCTTCATATGTGTGTAAAGTTGTGGTTGCATTCACACAGGGCCCATTTTATCTTGGCAGGCAGACTCCCAAGCATCTCGTACACTCGGTAGCTATTTTAAGTGGAATTTCTCTCTTTCTGTTGGGTTTCTGCTTTTTTTGTTGTTGTTACATGCTGCTCCACTTCTCTCCCACCCCAGAACGTGGGACATAACAGTGGGAACGGTTTCATTTGTCTTCCTATTTCCAGTGCCTAGGGCATGCATATGAAGCACTTAAAAAATTCACGTTGATTGACTGGAGTGAAAAAAAGTGCTTTGAAAATCTCAAGCATTACACGACATGAGATTATTATGGATCCAGTGCAAATTTATTACTGAATTTGTGAGAATTGTTCTTAAAATGAAAAGAACCAATCCAAGTTCTTCCTATTACAGTAAATGCTTCTCTAAACGAGTGTATGTGTGTGTGTGTAGGTGTGTGTGGTAAGCCAGTGGTCACAGCAAGAAAGAAAACCAGCCCTCTAAGCATAGAACTTATCATGTCCTAAAATGTACTGAAGTACATTTTTTCTTTTTTTTTGGCAATGGTGTTAAATGACTTGCCCAAGGTCACCCAGCTAGTAAGCGTCTGAGGCCAAATTTGAACTCAGGTCCTTCTGACTCCAGGGCCAGTGTTCCATCCACTGTGCCACCTAGCTGCCCCCAAAGGGCATTCTTTACCACCAACCAAGGCCTCAAGAAGGTTAGAGAAGAGGCATGTTTCAAATCTTGAGGTGTCCTTCCTGAAGCACCTCCACCTTCTGGGCAGCCAGATGTGATGCTGAATCCACTCGGGAGGACGCAGCCACAGAGCAAGCCTCTGTCAGGGACGTTTCCCCAGTCTTCCTCGTTTCCCGTCACAGTGACTGGTGAGGAAGCTAGGGATCGTCTGCAACCTCTGCACCAGAACCTATGTTTTGGCAGCTGCGAGGATTGTAATTACTGCGAAGGCTGTGGAAGAGGAAGCAGGGGGAGCCTGGCTCTCCCCATGGGTGACTACAAATGTACTGGGTCCGTTCCTGTGGTTTCAGCTGGTCTCTGAAAATGATCATCTGTAAGTTTTCCAGAGTCCACAGAGAGAGTTACAGTTCAGTAGATAAGGGCTTTCAGGGAATTCAACATTAGAAGGAAAGAAAATGCCACTGAGTTTACTCATGGTCTGACTTTCTGACTTAATTCTCCTGATTCGCCAGCCCCCAGACTGTAAAGCACGTGAGAGGTGGGGTAAATGGGCCAACATTCACTCGCGGATGGCTTCTTGGCCACCAGTTCCAACCACACGCTGCCTTTGCTCTGACCATCTTCTGCACCAGAAATGTGGACTCTCCCATCCCCTCCTAGGACGTGCCCTGGTGCTGAGAAGTGACCCTGTTGCCTTCTCTTGACCATAACCAAGCCTTGGCCTTCCTTCCCAGACACCAGCTCCAAACCATTCTGGCCTGGGTACGCCACACCCCTTTGGCTTCCTTTCCTCATGAGAACGTAAGTGCACAGAGGGCAGGGGCTGGCTTGGTTCCTCATCCGTGTGTCCCCAGCCCTTCACACACTTACCGCCTGGGGTGGAGCAAGTGCTCGGTAAGTGCTCCACCAGGTCCTTTGTTCAGCCCTTCCTATACGGGGCACCCTGCACCTAAGGGATGGATCCAGAGACAATTACTGAGGGCTGGACCAGCTCCCAATACAACTTCCCCTCAAGGATACTCCGGTGTCGTCATCTTATACCAACAATGCTCATTTACAGGTTATGCCAACATGTTGATTTAACAACCCAACTGTAAAATCTCACGTCTTCCTGCATGAAATGTCAGTGCTAGGAGGGAGCCTCACTGGTACTTGGCTGGTCCTCGTCATTTAACAGAGGCACAGAGACGTGACGCCACACTGCTAATTACAAATGGGTGCCTGAGCTTACCCACAGCTACTCTGATCACAAAACAACGATGTCTTGAAAGATGCAGATGTTTTGTGGGTTTTTTGCTCTCTGGCCACAGCGAAAAAGAAAAAAACAGCACCTTTTTTGGTAGTGAAAATATAACTTTATTTTTTTTAAACAGCTGCCAGCAGTATACTGTGTGTCTGTCAAGGAAGTTCCAGAGAGAAAGGAAGACAGAGGCCTGCTACAATGCATCTTTTCATTGCACTGTTCAAGTAATTCTGCAGAAAATATTCCGATTCTGTCCAATGCTATGGCTTCAGGAGCTGAGACTATTTCCCTGGCAAAAACATAAGCCTGGTGGCAGGAGCCTCACATGGCCGTGGAGGGGCTGACGCATGGGACCTACAACACAACAAACTTGTCTCTCTTTGAAATCAAACGCTGATTATAAATAGCACAAGAAATGGGTTCATCAGCACACTTAACCACAAGATGATCAAAGCCATCAAAAAAGGTATAAAACAAAATAAACATCTATTTGTTCTAAACTTCGCTTTTTTGGCTAGTTTCTAAATGGATGTTAGCTACACGGAATAGAGATGATCCGACAACTGCATTCAGCTGTGGGGAAACGCAACAATAGCAGGGCAAGAACAAGATGAGGAGGTCCTGCCATGGACAGAGAGCCCTCCATCTCTGCAGGGCGCAGGCCTCGAAGAAAAGGTCTGGTCAGGAAATATAAAGTTACAGAAGCTGACGACGCCGGGGCCGCAGGCAGACTACCCTTCACGAGAAGGCCCCCCGCGCAGGTGTTCTCCTCTGGGCCACCGGCATCACTGAGAGTGAGGAGAGCCCCCTCCCCGCCCCACCACCGTGCATCTGACGTCTGCGCTCCCTGCTGAGGCTCTGCATACATAGGGGAATCCAGGGCATATGATCTGGTGGCGGCAGACACACCAAGGCCCAAGCTGCCCTCTCACCCAGGACTGATCCTTTCGACAGTAACCTTCACAACAAGGTCAATGCCATGCAACTCTGGTGACAGAGAGGGGCCAGATGCATGGCAGAAGGCTCACGACCAGGATTCTGGACAACAGTCCTATAATTTTTTCTCAGTTCGAATTTATTTACCAAAGTCACAACTCTCCTGGACTATATAATATCCTTGTTTAGACAGAGAGCTAAAAGTGATGAAACATATGTTCTTACATAAAGATATCTGGATCCAAATTAAGTCACATCGGGTTAGTTAAGTTCCCATGAAGAAGGGTGGGCCAGAGGTGATGGAAAAGGCTGGACAGAGCCATTTAACAAAGAGAATGAGGAGGCTCTCTCACCAGCAATGCCCTCTTTCACTGTCTGTGTCTCCTCATCCTCCTTCTGCAGACTAGAAGCGACCCTGGGCTCCCCAAAGCTGTGCCGGGGGGACACAGGCCCTGGCCAGTCCTCTACTAAGCTGGGAAGGCTTCTCTATGACCACAGGCGACAGGATGACTGCATCTGCTGCGATTCAAGGATCAGTTTACCTAAGTGTGATCAAAGAACTCACAGCTTCTGGCCATGGCAACCACAAAACCACCTCTCCTTTATCAGTCCTCAGTTTGCCTAGAAATAATCTGGATGCCCCTTCTCTCCCTCACTCTCTGTTCTCTCCCTCTTTCCTCCACTCCCTATGTCTCATGGGAAGGGCAATGCCACAACCCACAAGGGAGGGTAATAGCTTGTGGGGATGCCTGCGGGCAGACGCAGCCCTCTGATTCTGGGTGCATGAGAAGGGCCCATCAGTCCTCAAGAACTGATCTGCAGTTTTTTTCTTCTGGAACTGCAAGAGTCTCCATGCATGGTTTTTGAGACAGGAAAAAAAAACCAACCCATTTGCCAACATTTGATCTGCAGTGGGGCTAATAGCAAAGGTGAGACCAAGGCATCTTCCTGAGCCAACCGGACACAAAACAGACCTTGTTGTTGTTTTTGTTATTTTCCTACACTGAGTTAACTTCATGGTATGTAAAGTAGCACAAAAAAATTAAAATGCAGGATACTTTGAAGAGTCAGGTTGCTCCCATAAAGCCAATGTCTATGAAACGTTAGCATATAAAAGGGGGAGAGCGTCGCCATTTTAAGCAGTGTGTCTGAAAATCCCCACAATAGAGCCTAGGAGAAATAGCACTGCCAAGTTTTATAAAATATAAAAAGCTGTTACCAGATCATTTTCTAACCAGCCATATTCTCTGGAGCAGCACTCATGCCAGCTTTAAAAATAATTAGATTAATAAACACTGCAAATGTCCCCAACCCACTTGCTTTTCATCCCTCAGGAAAACAAAACTGACCCTTGACTTAGAAGAATGTCAATTCTTTCAGGGGTGGTCTCAGTGGTTTTGATGCTATTTCTCAGTGTGGCTGCAGTAAGACGATTCACAGAAGGGCCAAGATCATAATTATGCCAGACTGCTGTCTACCTGTGCTCAGGCACACACTGGCGGTGGCTTCGATGACGTCCCCAAAGGGGTGACCAGGCCTCTCTCCTGGGCCAGGACGGGAGGTTGCTTCAGGCAAGGTCACTGAGCCAATACGCTCCCCAAACCAAACCAAACCAGAGACTTCCCAAAGGGCCCCTCTGAGCCTTCCTTAAATGCTCAGGCTCGCCTTGCAGCTCACTGCACTTCTGTCTACACAGAGTGTCTCTATCTACATTACTGAGATTCTAGTTTACAAGTGAATTTACTCACAGAAATTTTCACAAAAGACCTATAAAGAGCAGAGGTTCTTGGCTACCTCCAAAGAAGCCAATTTCAATTCAAACCAAACCGGAGAATTCAATACTGTTTCCAAACCAAGGGTGTCAGGCTCTATTGTTGGGACCAAAAATGCAAAGTTAGATTGAGCTGAAGAAGACCCAATGCCCGCAATGTCCATGTGCTCCTCCTATCATGATGATACAATGGTCTGGGAAGGTCTCAGCACCACCAGCTCTTCCTACAAACATTCTGTTTATACTATTTTGTCAGAGAGGTTACGACCAGAATAAAGAAACCAATAAACGCTTTTAGGGAGAACAAGGAAGAAAAAGGATTCCTGCACAAAACAAGGCTGGGGAGGGCTAATCTGTAAAAGGGTCTGCTTTCATACAGATGCAGCGAGCCTAGACGGGTATAGCTGGACACTGCTGATAGAGGGGCAGCCTTTCTGCACAATCTGGCTAACAATTCAGAAAGCCCAAATCCAGACATATTCCGTGGAGCTTGTGTCAAGGGTCTGAGAGTTTGGGCTGCCTTGTGAAGTTCCCATCACCACTTTAATAAAGGTAAATCCAATTCTATGTAACTCTGTGCCACCCACATGGAACAGACACAAGAGTGCCCTGAAAAGATGATAAATACCTATAGATAAATACACTGTTGTTATGGAGCGTCTCCAAACTCAAGAGAATTCAGAGGGGGCAGGAAAAAATGGGATTAAAAAAACACACCAAAAAAGACCACTTCAACACTTCGTAGGAGTGTATATTTTTGATAGCTACTGTACCTGGTCTATCCTTTATCCTAATTTTGAGTAACTGCATATTCATGCAAAATATGACCTCTATGTGATAGGAAGAGGAGCAGTATTCTGTTAAGAAGCGTGTTCTGTTAAAGGGGGAGGACAGGAAGCCGTCCCTCTCCTGAGGCTGTTTTACTTAGTGAGTCTTTTGGCTACGTCGCTATATGCTATCTCCACCTCCTTATCACTAGGACAGGTGTTGGTGAACTCATCCCGGCTGTATGCGTTAGTCAAGTAGCGCCAGATGCCAGTCATGTCCTTCGGGATGAGAAAATTGCGATACTTCTTGGCCACCACCTAAAACACAAAAACACACAGACACCCCAAGTTAGCAGGTTCGCTTTTCCCATGTCCTGTACGACAGATCATTAAAGTCCTCCTCCTGTGTCACCCCACCTCCATGGCATGGAGAGGACGGACCCTGGATTCTCCAAGGCCATGCCAGGCCAGCACACACTCTGGCTGGTCAGGCCAAGTGAAAAAGGCTTATAGAGGTGGGTGAACCCCAAGGGAGCTGATGAGGAAAGGCTCCAAGTCAGGGAGCTGGCTAGCAGAAGGTAAATTGTTTTTTCAACCACAGCACTCATGAAGACTGTTTACTCCAGGGCTGGGAAGCATGGAGTACCCCCACACATTCTTGAAGTACTCAAGTATCAAAAGACAAACCACTTTTCTGTTGTTCCTCCACATCCAAGTACTAATTGTATGATTACTCCAGACTTGATTCTGCTTGGAGAAATGTGGTTCCTTCTGTGCCAGCAGGAGCCCCAAAGAGCCATGCACAAGCACAAACCCTTGCCCCTGGACATTGAAGTGTGGGGCGAGGCAGAGAAATAGGAAAGGAAAAGATGGATTTGGAAGGGTGGGTTGTAACGGTTACTATTCCATAGCGTTTCCCATTCAGAATCAAGATTTATTCCTGTAGCTCATGGGGGAATCCCATGTGAGAAAAACACATTTGCAGAAATAGTATACTAAAAATAGATCCCAAAGCCAATCCGCTGATATGCGTTTCTTGGGGACCCCAGGGCACCAGACCCAGAAGGGACTTTGAGCACCACCCTCACCTCTAACCCTTATTTGGCAGCTGAGGAATCCAGGACCCAGGGCAGTGAGCCCAGCTCTGTCTTAAACCACACAGCCAGCTGGGAGTGGGGCCACGTTCCCTCTGTCCACGAGTTCACCCCTGGCCCTCACGTACATAGATTCAGGGCTGGAAAGCTCCTCAGGTAAGACTATTTAATCTAATCCCCTCCTTTTATGGAGGAGGACTCAGCCCAGAAAGGCAGGGATCTGATCATGCACAGCCAGAATATGAATCCAGGTCCTCTGACTCAAAATTCAGAGCCTTTTTCCCACCTCATGCCACAACTTAAACTGCATCGTGGCAGTAAACACAAAGAAAATAGGGCTATAGTGCCCTTTCCTCTGGGCATGCTCAGCTCCATCAACAAGCAGCCAGGCCTTGGCATCCCCTAGGACAGGGATAAGTACATGCGGTCATCTCTTGGCTCTCCACCCAATATCCGTGCAAAGCCAGGACCTCTCCTTGTGACCTCCTGACTGAGGGATTGCATGGCTCTTCCTCGGTGAGGGGGATCAGGGAGGAAAAGGCAGAGCAGAGTACTGGGGGGGAAGAGCCGCAGCTCTGGGCCAGTCATCCACCCCCTCTGCCACTGGACTTTCTCACCTACGAAATGGCCAGAACACCACCTGGACTTCCATTTACACTTGTAGATGCAGTGAATCATTAGGAAATTTTCTTACTACTGAGTCAGAACCTGCTTGTTTGAGACCTCCACTTGGGGCTCCCCGAAGACAACCTCTAATGGAGGGAGATGAGGGTCCAGTCCAGCATCAGTGTCAGATGTGACAGGCTCACCTTGACGATGTGCAGTTTGGGCAGCAAGTTGCAGTCAGCTAATGTCATCTCGTTGCCATCCAGGAATTTTCGGGTGGAAAACTTAATGTCCTCCATGCTGTTCTCATCGATTTCATCAGGAAGAGGAGAATTCAGATAGTCATCCAATTTCTGCAGTGTTTTCAAGAGACCTCGTTCCAATGCTGTAAGAAGGAAGGGAACATCGTGCTTTTAGGAGGAACGCAGCAGACGCTAGCAATTTCTATATAGATAAATCCACTATGGCCTAATGCCATTAGCGCTCAACCTGGGAAAGGGGAGTGCCAATGCATGAAGATGATAAAGTAGGAATGAGCAGGAACATGGGCACCTAAAAGCATTCTGCGCTCATTTACAGTGGGTAGGCATTCTTTTTCCTCATTCCCACTTCACGCTCTTCTGAAATACATGACTTTATAAAACATTTTAAAATGCATGATGCTAAACACAAACAAACCAAATAAGCAACGTTAAAGAGTAGAATCATAGGACAGAGCTAGGAGTGGACAGCTAGGTGGTGCAGTGGGTAGAGCGCTGGGCCTGGAGTCAGGAAGACCTAAGTTCAAATCCGACCTCAGGCACTTACTAGCTGTGTGACACCCTGTTTGCCTCAGTGTCCTCACTTGTCAAATGAGCTAAAGAAGGAAATGGCAAACACTCCAGTATCTTCACCAAGAAAACCCCAAATGGGGCCACAAAGAATGGGACACGACAGAAATGACTGAACAGCAAGAGCTGGACGTGACGTCAGAATCTCGTTCTGCGTCCCCTGGGTCTGCCCACAGTCACAGCTCCCAAATAGTGAACTCTCGACTCCTGGCCCGGGGCTATCCTTGAAAGGTTTGGTCCAGCCGACAACAGTGCCCCCAAACAAATGTCAGCTCTCCCTTCTCGCCTCCCCTTCCCCGCCCGCCATTCCTGACGAGTACAGACAGACAACAGACGCAGGCACCAGCACAGGAAGCTAAATTAGTGGCACCTTCACGTCTCCTGAAGGCAGCAGAGGGCACCAGAGATCACTAAATGTAACAGACCAACACTAGGATAAGAAGAGAACTCAGAACAGGGAAAGGAGGAAGCCCCGCTCTCAGAGACCTACAGGGCAATGGAGACTATTACTGTTCTTGCAAGCACAGAGGCCTGCTGGGCCCTCCCCGCTCTGGCTGTGCCGTCCTTCCCGTTAATTCCTGTCTTACCTCCTATTCTGACCACGCTGGCCTCCCAGCTGTCCCTGGCTCTCCTCCGGCCTCCTCCTTCCTCCCCAAATGCCTATGGTCACACAGACCATTTCCAGGGCCTGCAGCACATCCCCCACCCCCCACACAAACACCTGATGAAATGTGCCTCTTCTAAGGCCCCACCCAGGTGACACCTCCTCCAGGAAGGCTTTCCTGCTTCCCCATCTGACAGTGGCCTCCCTCTCCTCTATCTTCCTAGAGCACGTGGCGGGGATCTCTTCTTTCCCCAATCACATCCTACCTCGCAGAAAGGCCCAGCTGCCAGAGAGCATTTTGGTGCAGGACTGCACAGGACTCAGGCAGGAGTGGAGTCCTGAGCAGTGACCAATGATGACGCAAACACTTAATCAGCGCCCGGCGGAGGGCACCCCGACACCACACACAGTTAGCTATTCAAACTAGACAGCTGACTGTGCCCTTCTCCCACACGTAAAGCTAAAAGCCTTCATCAGAACAAACAATAGGGAAGAAAACGAGGTTTCTCCAGAGAGCATGCTGTGCCCTGGAAGGCCACCCAGACAAGCGTCTGAGGAGAGAAGTCTGCTAGGACCCAAGGGCTGTGAGGCAGAGAGGTCAGTGGCTCCCTGAACATGCATCAGAGGTAGCAGCAGCAGCAGCAAGTGGCCGCCAGGAGGAATGCAGAGCTAAGGAAGGCCAGTCTGCCTGGCCTGGGAAGGGGCTAATGTTTACTACCCTGGAACATAACTAGCGCATCTCAGGCCAGCAGCTGTCGGCTATGGCAGTGACGCCGCTAAGCTACCTGAGTGAGAAAGGCCCCATTGCATGTCGCAAAGAGCCTGGAAAACCCAGCTCTTGAGCCTGGGCTCTGCCACTGACGACAGACATGACCTTACAATGAGATGCCAAACCTCCCTCAGCCTCAGTTTTCTCCTCTACAAAATGGACTAAATGATTTCTGAAGATCATTCCAATTTTTATATGCTCTGATACTAAGCCTACAGTTTTGACCAACTTTGGGCCCTCCCTTCTCTTAAGATGAAAACTTTCCCTTATAATTCTCCAATTCAAAAAAATAACCCTCTAGGGAGAGGCAGCATGACCTACTAGAGGGAGAGCTGGCCTCAGAACCAAGAAGGCCTGGGTTAGAGTCCTTGCTCTGACACATCGGGCCTCATGACGCTCAGGATGGAGCAGAGGAGATGCCTCTGCTCCGGCAGAAGGAGTTTCCTCCCCTGGGAATACCCCACCCTACAGCAATGAAACGATCGGTTCAGCCCCATCTCCATCCCCATTTAATTCTAGCTTTATAATCGTTTGTTAAGAATGCGCTGTCCATCTGACTCCTTCCCTTGGTCTCCCCAAGTGAAATGGGAGGTGTTTACTTCGCAGATGCTTGACCTTTTGGAAGAAGGTTTTTGTCACTAATCACCACCAGAGGAGCTGAGGACAGAGCACACGGAGACCCCGCTTGGACGGGGCACACTGGAGCTTGTGGGAGGCAGTGTGGCCTCTGGAGAGAGGCCTGCATGGGGCACTTGGAGGCACTGACCCTGCAGCTCAGCCTGCCCTCTCTCGTGTGCCCCTAAAAAAGGCCTTCCATACTCCTGGCCCTCAGCTGTCCTAAAGGCCTCCACCCACTATTCTTTAAACTGAAACAACATTTGTGCAGCATCAATATCTTCTGCCCAGAGGGACGCTCACAGTGACAAAGTGCGTTTTAGTTGATTATCAGAGGAAGTGGCAAGAACACAGATATTAGAAGACAATGAGCTCGGGGGGAGGAGGAGACAGGGATCCAGACCTAGGACTTCCTCTTTACAGGGAGGTCCTAGTGAAAAACCTCTCTCTAACTCCGAGGCATCTAACACCCCGCCCACCCACTGACACTTCCCAGGCTTCCTGAGCCGGATCAAAATGTCATTGGGAAATAGTTAACAAAATAAATAAAAATACACTAAAACATTAATAGTGTTCATACGTGATTTTCTAAGTCCGTGTGCAGCCGTGGTGTGGTCTTTACATCCAGTCTGCAGCCCCATTTCTAGCTGAGTTTCACACTTGGCACTAACCCACTGTCCACCTCAAGCCTGCAAGTGTCCTCCTGGGGCACTGAGAGATTAAAGGGACTGGTCAATGGAGACAGCACCAGGGCTCGGCAGGGGCAGGACGCAGGAATCACTTACAAAGGGACATTTTCTGTCGTAGGCAGTTGGGGTGAGGGGTGGAGGACAGTGTGGACTTACGATTTCATGGGGTTAAGGAAATTCCCTCCACCAATCCAAATCAACAGCTCTCCAGAACTTGAAGTCTCGGGGAGCTTCCTGGGCCCCTGAGACATTCAGCACCTCCCCTACAGCCACAAGGGCAGGATGTGTCCAAGGGCTTCCCGCCTCCCAGGATAGCGTTCTATCCACGGCAGCAGACTGCTTCACAAGTAGGCAATTCTATCATTTAAAAGTCAACCAGGGTGAGAAGACTTAGCACCTGCATTATGGCATAGTCACTACTGGGCACAGCCTCTGGCTGGTGGATGGCCTTTGTAATAATGAGCCCAAAGCACAGCTATTACTGCCTAGCATCTCTGCTCCAAGTCCCCAAAGATAAAGACCTGTGCAAGCACCAGGGGTATAAAAACCACTCACAACATGGAGTTCTAGAAAAGGAGGCGGGCACGTAATGCACAGAGGGAGGCTGGAATGAGGCCTTGGTGTCCACACACTATCTCCAGACCCAGACAAAACCCAAACCAATCTCTTCAGTGTACAGGACAGAGGTCTCCGCACGCTGGGGCAGACTTCAAGAAAGGCATGTCAAAGACTCTGATGGGGATGAAAGGCCTGGAGAGCTCTGAGTGGCTCCTTTCTACAAGACCACATTCCAGCAGCCCACAGTCCATGAGAATCCTCATGCCTCCTGGTTAAAAATAAACATAAGCCCTTCCCCCCCCCCCCCGGCCCCCACTCCATCAAGGCTCTGTTTTGTTTTGAAGAGTGAAGGGCAAGGATGGACTGCCTTCTTAAAGGCCAGGTGACACGATGGTGGGGACGTGGTCATGGCTGCTTCCACAGCTACCCAGGCGGCGCCATGGCCCCCAGGAGTCACCTCGAGAGTTGGGAGTGGGAGAGGGGCAGTGCCACCACCTGCTTCAGGCAGGAAATGGCCAAAGAGCCTCTCCAAGATGGCCAACGTCCCCATAAGCAGTCCGAGGCCTCCTGAGAAGGAGGCAGAGCCTGAAGCAACCAGTCAGCTCCCTGAGGACAGGCGCCCTCTGCCCTCTGTGGCAACTCCAGGGCTCAGCACCAAGGATGGCTCAGATGGAAAGACGCCAGACCTGAAGTCAGAGGACGTGGATTCGAATCTTGACTCTACCATTTCTGTAAATGTAAATGTGACTTGGTCACTTCACCTTCTCTAGGACAGTTCCTCATCTGTAAAATAAGGGAGTACTAAATGAACCCCAATGTCTGTTCCTAAATTGTAACATGTGGTACATCCCTTTGCTTCCAGGCAAGGACACGCCAGCGCCAGTCCAGAGAGGGGTCACATCTCTTTTTAACCCTTCAGTAAGACCATGTGATGTCTTGTGTCAAAACTCGTCAAACTCTTGTGTCAAAACACACCACCTGGTGTGGGTGGTGGAGATATAATAAGGCAGTCCTTACTCTCAGGGACCTTACATTCTACCCATGCATTACAACATGGACAATCGAAGGCTGAGAGAGAGATGAGGGTCAAGGAGAGATCCATGGACGACTCTAGCAATGCCACGTGCTGAGGGAGAGGTGTCAAGGAAAGCTGGACAAGGCAACAACCAGAGCGGAGCTGGGAGGGAAGAGAAGTGTTCAGAAAACCTGGGTGGAGGAAGGAAATCTGGACGAAGGCCAGGAGGGAGATGTCAAGCGCAGGCAAGAGCTCCTTGTTTACTTGGGCTAAGAGGAATCACATGGTGTAAGGCCAAAAGGGGGGGGACACTTGGATGTCTCTCCAAGGCCCTCCAGTCCAACTCCTTCATTTTACAGATGAGGAAAACTGAATCCAAGAGAGGGGAAAGGACTTACCCAGGACCTCCCAGGTATCAGAAGCAGGATCTGAACCTTTACCAGTTTACAGACCATCACACAAAAAGAAGACTTCTTTATCTGAGGCACAGACAAGGCTTTGCTCCTTCGTTAAGGTTTTAGGTCTTGTTTCAGGACAGCTGTCCACCCAACACACCTCGGAGCTCTGCAGGAACTCAGGGCACCCTTTGGACTGTGCTTGGGGAGGGGGAGGGCTCTGGGAATTCCGGGGCTGCCCAGCTCATGAAAGGATTCTAGATGCATTTCAGAGAAGAGAGACCTCCAAACAAAAGTCCATGAGGGAGCCCCGTTCCACCCCAGAGAGGGCCAGAAGATTGTTTTCTGAAGTCTTGCTGCACTTAACAGGTCCCTGGGGTGAGAGGTTACTTAGCAACTGTGCCCTCTTATTTACTAATAGGTAATTGAATATCAAGGCCTCTCAGTCCTGCACGGGGAGTGGTGGCAGTCTGAGGCCAGCCAAGGGGGGCACTGACTTCAGGCAGCAGCACATTAATCAGGGCGGGGGGGGGGCCCCCCGAATAGAAGCTAGTAGAAAGTACAGTCACATGACTCACTTCCTCCTCCCCGCAAAGGGGAAAAGGCTTTCTTTTTTAGTATCAGATGAAATCCAACTACACTCCAAACCATAAACACCATTTTAAAATTCCAGTAGTGAGAGAAAGTAATTAAAATGTGAAAAAGAGAAGGCTGAACAGTTGAAATTTTGAATAATAATGAAAAGAATCATAGAATTCTTTAACTGAAAGGGATCTTAATGAAGCCTCCTCCTCCAGATAAGGAAACTGAGGTCCCATGTACATGGTCCCAAAGTTCTAGTCAGTGTCAGCGTTGGGAATGAAAGCCAGGTGCCTTGCGTTGGAGTCTAACAGAGAAGAGAAGGACACGAGGGGAATGACTGAAGAGGGCAGAAGCTGCAGGGGAAAACAGCTCCATTGGGTCCAGCGCTAAGTCTGTGAAGGGGCCTGACATGCTAGCAGCAGGTGGGTGGGGTGGGTGAGGCCCAGAGAGCCCAGGGTGTGAAGGGGGGCTCGCAGACATGTCTGCAGTGTTGTCAGCACACAAACCTTCATCAGAAAGGCCAATGTTAGTCAGCAAATGACTCAAACCCAAACTGCTATTAGAACAAGGTTAATAAGTGGGAGTGAGGCTGGCCACCAGAAGCTCTTTCCTTTTCTTCTAATTATAGGAAAACATCTCATGAAATGGATTTCTTAAATAAAGGCTGAGCTTCAATCCCCAAATTGAGAAGTCCCAAACAAAATGAACACTACTTAATAATCAAGACAAGAGCTGCCCATCTCCTCTGGATGTCTGCCTGCTCACGGAGTGGCCTAAGAGCCAATATTGGCGAGTGACAGGGCCAAGTTTACTTTGAAAACCAGCCCCTCGCTCCTTGGGAGCGGCCCTGCTGTTTTCTGTTGACCCTCTTCAGCATCCTTGATCCATTCAAGACCAGGGATGATGCCAAAAGCTTGCACCCGAGAGGGTCCCTACTTAACTCATCCTCTGGATGGAGCTGAGTGTTTATAGTTTAAGATGAAAAGAGCTGATTTTAGTCTGTCCTGACCGACAATAATGCTGCCCATGCCAGGGACCTTAGAAGAAGAATGGGAGGTAAAAATCACAAAACTGAGATTTAAGAAAATGTTTTCAGGTTCCAGGATTCTGAGCTGGAAGGAACTTTGAAGATCAGCTGGTCCAACTTTCTCTTTTTACAGAGGAAGAAACTGAGGCTCAAGCAGTGGGAGTGACTCACCCAAAGTACCACAGATGAGCTGGGACCGTCTCCGAGGTCTCCCAACTCCCAAGACACCGCCCTGCCCACTCCACCACAGACTTCTCTGCACACCTCATCAACCTCTTTTAACCAAATTCCACTGACATTTTTAATCTTTGCCGTAACACTGGTCCTATGGAACTAGTGCTTTGGAAGAACCATTTAACATCACGCAGGATAAGTCTGTGTGTTAAAATTGGGGGGGGGGGGGGAGGGGGAAGACCACCACAGCTGGGCTAGACTAGACAAAGCACCGGCCTGGGAGGCAGAAGGGCCCAGTGCTGTCCTCAGAGCTGCTATGGGGCCTTGGGCAAGGAGCCTCCCCTCTCCAGGCCTCAGTTTCCTCCTCTGTAAATGAAGGGGTTCCATATGAAGCTGCCTGAGCTTCTTGTTCTAAGTTCTAACTCTCATATTCTATAATCCTAGAAACGTCATTTACAAACCCTCTTAAAAGATACTATATTGGCATTTAACTCCAAGAAACTGTCATCATAGAAAAAAAGAGCATCCTCAGAATTTTTACCTTTAATATGGGTGAGAAATTCTCTACTTTGTGTGCAAGCTGGGGCAAAGCTTAATTTCACACAGCCCAACAAGCTGACTAGGTCAACTGCGGGTCTGACTGATCCCCGGGCAGGCTGACGTCGGGTCTGCTGGATTCAGTCAACAGTCAGCTTGGGCTTGGAGCTGGACCCCAGCACCTGCTGCCAGTGGGCAGGCCACTCACGATGCTGAGGATTCCAATCCGGGGGATGCTGTCAGGTTCTGTGCAGCCCACAGGCCAAGAAGAGTTTATGAGCCGTGAAAGCTATATGGGAGCTAGAACTTAGGGCAGCTGGCTCCCAGGCCAGTGCTGTTTTCGTCCAATTCCAAATTCTTTGTACTAGCTTTACCTTCAGAGCAGCTTCCTACTGAAAGGTCATGGCTGTTTCATGGAAATAAAAAGAGGCTCATCTACACTGGCAATCATCTTAGAAAGTCAGCTTTTAAGAAGTCATAAGACACTTTGGATTCAAAGTACTCACTTATAATCATGAGCATTATTATTATAATAATTAGCACTTTTTTTTTTTTACCTTCATTAGCTTCTGGCCTTGAATTCTTAATAAATGCAGAAAATTTGGCAAAGATGTCCATTCCAGCAGTGTTTGACTCTGGGTGCTTTGGTGAAAGCTTTAAGTATCTGCACGAGGAAAAAAAAAAAGTCTTTTGGTTTACACAATTTCCAAAGAATCTTCGGGTGCATTATTTCAGGTAACAAAGAATTTCGTTCACAAATACGTCCCATGTTTTCACATTGCTGGTCACTTTGTCACTCAAGCCATTCTTTAAAGTACTGTTTAAATATCACCTTCACCAAGAAGCTTTCCCTAATTCCCTCCCCCCATTTGAAAATGACCTCATCTGATTTTTTAAAATTCTGAACTTAAAAACCAAAAAAAGAATATTTCCACATACACAGAAATACACAACTGAGATTATGTATTAAAGTGTTAGTTTCCATTTCATATTGCTTACTTTTGAAAAAAAAAACCCCACATATAATTAATTCCATATGTTACTTTCAAAACTGCCCTCCTTGTTGTAGCTGGTAGATAGAGCACTAAGCCTAGAATAAGAAGCCCTGAATTCAAATCTGGATTTAGACTTTAAGTAGTTAAATGGAACTAGAGTGCTAGTTGCTGCTGGCAATGAGTAGAGGAACTTGCATCATTAGTAATAAAGACAACCCAACCCTTCAGGGGTACCCCTAGAACTCTAAGGAAGAGATTCCCAAGACTTGCTCAGGGGTATAGTGACCTCAGACCATACTCACTACACTAAAAATAAGGGGAAAACTTCCTATCAATTAGAGTGGATTGTCCACAGGTGGGAAAAGTGCCTTCTAAACCTTAAGGCCCCACTTAAATGTGAATCATGATCACCAGGGTAAAAAGGGTCTCTATTGCTCTGGGTAAAATAGAGGAGGATAAATGATACTAAGACTTGTAAGAGACTTAAAGATCAAGTCCAAACCCATAATTTAAAAAAATTATGCAATGAAGGTCCTGGGGAGTGGGGGTTGGGGTGGGAGAAGTACCTGTACTCGGAGTAAGGCCACACAAAGGTTTCTCCTCTCCTCTCTCTAGAACACTCATTACCACCTCTGATAAATGTTAAGTGAGCTGTGGCCACTGAACCGAAGGCAAAGTCCCCTGGTCACACACATCTGATAAAGAGTTACAGGGGGGGATTTGAACCCAGGGCTCTCTCAACTCCTTGTCCAGGGCTCCTTCTACTATGCCATACTGCCCTCTTAATGGGTGACTGGGTCTCAAGCTCAGAGGACAGGTTAGGGATAGAAATCAACATTTGGGCATCACCTACTGAGAGGAAGTGAATGGGAAACAAGGGTGACTAGCAGGCGGGACTAGCAGCAATGCTAGGAGCCCATTTGTGTGAAAGGGCTCTGCACCCCTATCTAAGGAGCGAGGCATCACCCTGGCCACCCAAGCTGTGCTCACTCTCAGGACACTCACACTCAGTGCCACCACAAGCAGGCACTTTCCTGCACTTCTGCCCTGCCAGACTGAACGTGACCCACCCATTCTTCATGGTCAGACTACAAGGAGGACCCTTCCCAGGGCACTGAAATGGAGGTACCAATCCCAGCCGGGCTAAGGGATGACCTGGCAGGCAGGACCAGCCTGGCTTCCCTCTCCATTTTCTGGCCCCACGGCACGGCTGGGGATGGGGTCTTCAGGATTCAGGGTTAGGGAACCAGAAGACATCTAAGTTATCTAAGATGGGCTAGCTCCAGGACCAGCACAAACACAGGCCTGGAAGACAACTGCCCATTTCTTTCCAATGACATTACCAAAGTGTTTTTCCTCTGAGCCTCTTTAAATTCAGAATGAAAGCCAGGAGTTTGTGAGTGAGAGTGTAGCTCAGACCTTAGGTAGGCTTCTGCTTGGTTATCAGGTACACTATAATGCCAGGAGATCCACAGGAGACCCAGACTTGAGCAGCCCCAGGCTTAAGCTCAGTCTGGACACAGTGGCAGCGTGACCCTGGGCCTGGAGATTCCCTCTCCATGAACTGGTCCCCAGCTTCCATGACTTTGTATTGCCATGCCAATCTCCCAGCTCCCTCACCAGTTGAAGGTAAGCTCCTTGAGAGCAGGGAAGGCTTGTGGTCTTTATGGACCCTGCCCCTAGCAGATTACCTGCAGGCACACAGCAGGTGCTTAATAAGTGCCTACTGACTTTAATTGAGTCTTCTCCACTCCCCCCATATGTAAAATGGGGATAAGAACACAGTACTCAAAGACTCACAGTACTGCTGTGAGGGAAGAACTTTGTAAAACACAAATTGGGCGGGACAAAAAAATGAATTGTTGCTAGTAAGACTTGGCCCTGGAAGATTCCGGATTCTGACATAGGTCTCCTGCCTCCCAGTGCCTACCTCTCCCTGCTCCCGAGAGATGGAGTAAGGTCAGACTTGGGGGGCTGGGACAACAATTCCTGCTCAGGTTTGAGTTGGACTAGATAATGCTAAAAACCCCTCAAGTGCCTTCCAACTTGGAGAGTCCATAATTCTATAAAATGACAAGTCAAGGGACAGCTAGGTGGCGCAGTGGATAGAGCCTTGGAGTCAGGAGGCCCTGAGTTCAAATTCGGCCTCAGACACTTGACACTTACTAGCTCTGTGACTTGGGGCAAATCTCTTAAACCCCAATTGCCTCACAAAACAAAACAAAACAAAACAAAAATGACAAGTCAATAAACCCTCTCCTTTTTCTTTATTTTAATTTCCTCCAGAGAGTTTCAATGTTCTCTAGAGAACACCTTTGTCCTCAGATCATGCAGCCAATAAGGAACTGATCAATGACTAAATTCAACAGGGAAATTTCACTTCCTTTTATGCCAGTCTAAACATGAAGCCCTTATTCTTCTGACTTACTGCTCAGGGAAGGGGGGAGAGAGGAATGAAAGAGGAAGCTCATCTCATTCCCTGAGACCATGAGGTTGTTTCCCCCATTCCAAGTAAATAGCTGGCTTTCAGTTGAAATGTTTGGATCAATGACTGGACAATGTAATTACTGACTCGTTCCAAATAGGGAATGGCACAGATGGTGCAAAGCACATAGGTGTCTCAACACATCTTTGGATGCCTCCAGCCAAGATTCCACAACCCTCCTCCCCTATCCCACCAAAATTTTGTTATATTTAATTTTCTCAAATTGACAAGACCTCATTAATTCAGAATGACCGAGAGGGAAAGTCAGTTTGATAATATTACATGATATTTAATTCAAACATTTATCAAGCACTTCCTACGTGCAATGCAGGTTGCTGCTCAGTTCTGGGAGAGATACTCGGATAAATTATACATCATCATTGCCCTTCACTGGCTCATAACCAAATAGTTTTAATACAAAATGGAACTTGATAAGTGCACTGAACAGAGTTATGGAGCAGTGAGTAGAGAGAGGTAATTAACAGATCTTAATAAATGTTTCTTCAATTGACGTGTGGAGGTGGCATTTGAGCTAAGGACCAAGAGATGGGCAGGGATTTCAGCAGCAGTGTGCCTAGGTGCCTAAAGGAAGCTGTTCCTTTCAAGAATACACCTGTGATTCTAAGCAGGGTGTCTTTGGGCATTCTCTACATGACCAAATAAATGTTTCAGGAACACAGATTTATAGCTGAAAGAGACCTCAGGGCCCAAGCAACGAATCCAACCTGCTCATTTTACAGACCAGGGAACTGAGGCCCAGCATGGCTATGTGGCTTACACGTTGCCACCTGGGTAATAATCAAAAAATGCAGAATTTGAACCCAAGTTCTCCAACTCTAGAGTTGGGCTGTTTTTACTGTACAACTCTCCTATCCTCTATCAATCATTCCCTAAGAACCTACTCAAAGTCGTTCTCCAAATAAACTGGGGAGGGGGTGGAAAAGACTAAGCTAAGGGCTAGAGCGACCCTGGTTTCTTACAAACAATGCCCACAAAGCCAAACACAAAGTCCAGCAGACATCAAGCTGGTCAGTACAGGTATGCTACTGGTGGGGAACTCTCTGCCTATAAAACGAGGACCAGCCCAGAGAAGATCAGACAAGCTTATTATGAACTCATGAGGACCATGTGTTCATAAGGCATGGGAGGCTGCTATCTGCATTACTACAAGGAATATCCACACCAAGGAAATTATGATTGCCTGTAGTATTGAAATAAATATTCATTCACAGAACTTTAGAACTAGAAGGAACATTAGAGATGATCTAAGCCAGACCCCTCGTTTTTTTTGTCTTTTTTTAATTAATTTTTTTCAACTAACACAAATCTACTTTTTTCTTCCTCCCACCTCCCCCTCTAAAGAGAAAAAACAAATTTCTTATAATAAACTGGCATAATTAAGCAAAACAAATTCTCATATTGGCTATGTCACCTCAATGTCATGAATCCTTGAGGGTCATTGTGGTTGATCAGAGTTTTTTTAGCATTTCAAAGTTTCTCATTTTTTTTTATTAATTTATTTTGATTTATCAACAATCACTTCCATAAGCTTTTGAGTTTAAAATTTTTGTCCCCCTTCCTCCCCACCACCCTCCCCAAGACGGCGCACAATCTGATATAGGTTATAGGCTACACATATACATTCCTATTAAACATATTTTCACATTAGTGATGTTGTAAGTAAAAATTAGAACCACTAGGAGGAACCACCAGAAAGAGGAAACAAAACTCAACAGAAGAGAAAAAAAAAAATAGCAAACAGTATACTTCAATCTGCATTCAAATTCCATAATTCTTTCTTTGGATGTGGATAGCATTTTCCATCATGAGGCCTTTGGAGACATCTTAGATCCTTGTATTGCTGGGAAGGGTTAAGTTTATCGATATTAGTCATCACACAACACGGCTGTTATTGTGTACAACGTTCTCTTGGTTCTGCTCACTTCACTCAGCATCAGACCATATAAGTCTTTTCAGGTTTTTCTGAAGTCAACCTGTTCATCATTTCTTATAGCACAATAGTATTCCATTACATTCACATACCACAACTTGCTCAGCCATTCCCCAATTGATGGGCATCCTCTCAATTTTCAATTCTTTGCCACCACAAAAAGAGCTGCTATGAATATTTTTGTACATGTGGGTCCTTTTCCCATTTGTACGATCTCTTTGGGATATAGCCCT